GATTCTATACATTTAAACTTGTTATATTATATTCCATCGCACTTGCGTTATGTCAATAAGTGCAATTAATAAACGCGCCACCCGTCCGGTTGCATTTTCAGCGGACTTCCGGGAAAGTATCGCGTGCAATCGAACCCGGTATTTGTTGATTAATCTACTCGTATGTTTAATTAACTCGTCGCGGCTGTTTTCGATCAAGAATTTCATTCCATCGAGAAAGTCTGTGACGCCGATGACGATTCGAGAGTTTAACAGAGGATTATTCATTCCGAACATTCCAATGAAATTTTTGACAGAAGAGACAAAAATTATATAAAACGTATCACTAAATTATGATCTCCGGTACGTTGTCACAATTAACTGACAGGAATTTAAGAGAACTTAACAATGCTTGTCTTAAAAATTGTTATAAACTGGTGTTTCGTTAGTTACGAGTAATTGAATTAGTGTCCATTTACTGGTATAACATTTGTATATAAATTTAAAATTGTCAATAATAAATGTTCAATGCAAATGTAATAATAAAAATGGTTTTGCCAAAGAAATGAAACTTTCTTTTATATAGCGTGGGAGTAATTAAAATGATTGAACAATACTTCTCTAACATTTTAGTCCATTTTTATCTGATGCCTGTCCCTGTGAGAGAAAATGTGTATTTGAAAAGATTGGCTTACAATTTATTGTCAATAATCAGTATTTCTTATCCTTTCTTTTAATTACATAATACACTCAAAATTACATTATACATACATATTTTACATAATTGTTATTGTAATAATTATTAACAAACCAAACCTTGTTGGCGTGTGTAACAATGACTCGTGTTTTGTTTTACTTGTCTTTTCTAACTTGCAGCTACGTGTACATAATAGAACAGACCTGCTATTACTTTTTTTTCGTTTAAACGGTCAAAATAGATTTTCTTTAAGTTGCCCACCGCGGGTGTTAATTATCATTTATTTTTATCTTTTGATTATTGATCATTTGATTATTTTTATCTTGATATTTTTTTTGTTTATGAAACCACTGTGAGTGCGAATTAATTATGGTCTATGAACATGGAATACTTCCACGCAGTGAATCAATCATTTCGAAATTCTTTTTTCGACATCGAAGTGAGTACAATGATATAACGTTAAAGCAGTCCATAATTGAATCGTGAGAATGAAACACGCGACAATTGAGCTCTATGTACTTCATGAATCTAAGACATTCAAAGAGCTGATATTTAAGATTCAGGAAGTCATTTTCAGCGAGAAACGCATTCGAGACTTTAAACTGTGACACTGTTCGCATTTTACTGTTTAAGTATTCTTCTTCGTCTGTCATAATTATTAACACTCGAATAGTTTTACGAGTTTCATGAAGAGTCAAAAAAAGAAATGACGTAGTGTATTTGTAAACATTTTTAATGGAAGAGACATTAGTCTAGTAGCCAAGAATGACAGCGCGAAAAAATTAATAATTACAAAGCTCTCAATTCTATTTCCAGTTTTATCAAATTCAGAAATAGTTTACACAATGAAGCATTAATCAAATATGTAATATGTAAAACATTAAAAACATTTAAATAGATGATCAAAGTCGTAGTTTCCGTTGATAATGGGTCAATCGGAGATATACCGATACGTGAATCAATTGATCGAATCGTTAACGCTAAAGTCTTGTGTACTTTGATGCACAGCACGGAAGAGCAGTTTCTTTTATTTATTTCTTGACTCACGCTAGATGTTGAATGCCCTTGACATACATTTTTATTGTCGGTTAAACACCAAATCCGATTAACTTTTTCTAATTGAATATTGTCAGTTCGATACACCAAGACCGATCGACATTTCTTTTTTTGAATGGTATTATGTATAATGCGTACATATAGACGTATATGTGTATAAGAATGTACATATACATACACACGCACAAGCATGCACACACACGCATCTACACCGGTTACGGGTCCGCAAATATGTTTTATCGTTTAGATTGCTTGTTAGAGCAATTACGAATCATTTTCCGATCAATTGTTCAAATTCAAGTTACTTTTGATTGTTACAGTTTGATTTAATATATCCATCAATTTGCAAATCTTGATCGATCTTAAGATAACATCATAAAACTTTTACAAATAGGACTATTAACTTGCCAATTTACCATCAGCAACTGTATAAAACAATTATTGCTAATTCAGATATTAATTCAATTTTTAATTGTCATTTTAATTAAATTTACAAAAATTGAACTACTCGCAACAATACGGTAACTGTGAAAATTATTTTCTTTAATTTCACTTGTTGCTTTTACTCACTACTTCACATTTTTTTTTTGCTTAACAAATAAAGACGCCAATACATTTTGATTATATTGTGTTCATCGATAAATGATTCGTGGATCATTGGAGAAGACGTTTCTACTCGATTCTACATGTACACCTAAGTCGTTGGATATTGGCACAAAATACACATAATCCTTGCTCGTCTCAAGTCACTAAGGGTCTTTTCTAAATCGGCTTTCTTTCATTTTTTGCCTTATCGTAAAAAGTACTTTTAAAAGAAAATCTTTTTATATAAGGACGATGAACCAAATGACGAAAACCCATATTCTTGGCCAAGTTAGTGATTAACGTTGGTCCTTATCGCGCCACTATCGAAGTCGACCCTCTTAAGGGGTTGGCGCGTATCTGTCTATGTGTACATATTTATATTGGCTAAAAATCCAGTGAGTTAGGTATACATAGAACGGACTCATTTCGAAGCATTGTTTCGTCAAGGGAACACAAAAAATTGCTTTTAATTTAATGCGTTCGACATGATCGTACGCGCTTATGGTTCGTACGATTTTTAGAACGATCAATTATTTTGCGTGACGAAGAACAATCTCTTGAAGACCTTTGTTTCCATACACGCAATGCAATAATAATAAAGATACAATATTAACAGCCAGTAATTGATGTATTATACTTCTACTTTCATACATATCGATAATCCACAAGGATAAAGTTTAACACGATAATATTTATATTTAATTACGTGCTCCGTGAAACGCTCACGCTGCGTGAAAACACTTTTTCTTAACAGAGACATAAACGTTCTTATTTTCATGTAAAACTTTTATATCTTAAAAATAAAAATAATTGATTTCAACGTTACCAATATAATTATGTAGCATGTAAAACTAACGTGATGCAATAATTCATAAAATACACGTCACTATACTGTTCTTAATAGGTATTAAGGAAGAAAATTTATTATAGACAAATGTTTAAACATTGGAAGCTACCAACAAATAGCTATGGAACCATCCTGAGCTTTTGCTTAAATAATATTATAGAATATAAAACTTCGAAGAAACAAGAAACACTCGTGGGCTGTGAGAGTATCACGGCTCAACCACAATTTTAATATTAATGTATAATATACAATACATTTATATATATATAGTTAAATTATTTCTACAATAATTTATTGTCCTTACATTATGTTCTCTCATTTATTGTCAATAATAATAAATAAAATTTATCCTTTCTGCAAAAGATCAATAGAATAGTTGGGTATCGTTTAAATTATGTACCTCAAACAAAAATGTAGATATAACGAATTTGCATGATTAGAGTACAAGCATCATGCGAGTATACATATGTATGTAGAATACATAACGTGTCAAACATGAAACGTACATATATACATATACAAACATATGCGTAGGCATATTATAATGTATGTATATTTTATGAATATTCGTGCTTATTTATATATGTATATATAATGTTTTTATTTATATAACTTTTCAAATGGTTCTTTAAGAAATATTGTACGATTTAGTTTATTTAATTAAAGTAATACTTTCTTTTATGCTTATAATTAGTGTACACTTCAAGCATTCTCCAAATTTTATTTTATACGATAGTAAAATAGCTCTCAACACACTCTTAACCCTTCCTTTGCTATATGTATATAACTATGTGGTTACAATTATACATGTCAAATGAAAAGCTTCTACTTTTGCTATCGTAAGGAAAGATAGGAAATGTTATTATCTTTCTTACTTCTCAAATGTATAACAAGATCTACAACTTTTTACAAGTTAATAGAAGCATCAATGTTACTTTAGAAGCTTGATTAATTTTGGTACTTAATATTTGCCATTTGACCAGATTAATTTTGATACTTAATATTTGCTACTAATTGTAAGCATGCAGGAAAGGAAGGGTTAATCAATTTTTATCATTTATCACACTTGTGTTGCAAATACAAAATAACTTAATGAAAATAATTGAATCATGGATTCAATTTGTGAAATTAAAAAATTCAAAGCGTACGTTATTGTAACATTTATCATTTTAATTCGCATTTTTCTCAATTGAATAAAAGTTCATACATCGTGTTAATTGTAACAAAATATCGATCCTCGTTCCTTTACATTCTTTAAATTTTTAATACGAAATCATCTATTGAAGTAAAGTATTATTTGTATACATATAAAAATTAACAATAGTAACAGTTAGATATATTTATCATAAGCGAGTCTTCATTACTAGATCATTTAAATCATCCGATAAAAAATTGTGCATTAAATCTTAACAGTGCCACATCTGTTATACTTATCAATATCCTTTTTATAACATAACATCAAATTCCTTTGTATAACATAATAACTTATCCATTATGTTTATTCAATCTAAACGATTCAGTATTGTCTGAAGATTTTTAACGTATTTGCATTCCAACGCCCAGAAATGTAGAGCAAAATACTTAACCATTCTCATAAATAAATTATAGAAATATCTTTTCCTTATTTATCGTTTTAACATCGCGCACTGTTGGTTATAGTATATGTAAAGCTAATATCGTTAATAAATGCGATGCAAGATGCTCCGAAAAGATTGAACACGACAATACTTACGCATACAGTGTATACAGTACGTAACAAAAGTCTCTCTATTTAATTTACAAAGACATTGTTTATTTTTTTGCTGCATTTGTCTTATTAATCCTAAATCTTTCAGAACTGTATTTGAAACAGTTATAAGCATCTGAGTTAAGGTATTCGAAACCATCATGTTTCGTTCGTATTCAGTGCCAACAGCAAATTCTACTTTTTTAATTCTAAATATCTTAGATGTTTGACGCTTCTCAAACAAATATATTGAATGCAACTGGTATGCTTTCTTTCTTATCATCTCTTACCTAATCGCAGTCAGTTACATTTGATTTCCGATAGAGATTTTAGAAATTTTTGTCACGCACTGTAAGAATGTAATCGTTGCAGTGTTTTATGAAATCAATTATCAAATCCGATTTAATATATAATTTTATCACAATGTTGCGTTATCTTTACGCATTTGAACGTGACATTTGTCGAACAAATGTTTTCATGTTTAGTTGTGTCGAAATTTGAATTTTACCAATATAACACACTTCAACAGTGATTGAAGGTTTAGATCTAAGAACCAGGCTGCTCAATTTTTTGTTGAAATTAAGATTTTTATTACGTTTTTAAGAAAGATAATAAGATTATATTACTTCGTACTTATGTACCTCCAATAATTTCCTTCCACGTTACAAAGGGAATGGATTCATCCGAAGTTTTTCTTAATTCCTGTAAAATTAGTAAAAATTGAGACTCCTAGTTCTTTCGTCGAACCTTTCAATTGATTTCGTACATTGTCGCGCCACATTCGGGCCACCTCGTATTTACTTTGCTTTCCCTTTATTGTCGTTAAGTCGTTATCGGACCTATATGTATATGTCTATAAATATATCAGTATTATTGTTCGAACAGCATTGGAACTTATCCTACGTATCGTTCGTAGTTCAATTAATTAGTTACATGTTATTATCTTGAGTTCGCCTTCTGACAGTGGATAACGTGAATAAACGTTAGGCCAGTTATTACTTCGATAAAATAGCATGTGCATACGATATCGTCCTTCTATCTTCGATTATGCATGCAGATCTCAAAAAAATAATTGCGTTCCAAATTCCTTTTGGCAGAGCAGAGCCACAATTATTATTATACGCTCGTTTGGTATACAGTTGTTTAAACAATCTTGTTTACACGTATGTGTAAATTCTAGCTTCTTGCTATTTCTTTTTTGAAATATTTCATTGTATCAGTTTCATGTTGCATGTTCAATTCCATTTTAAATCATGCTTTTACTGCATTATTTTAAATTCATTAGTATAAAAGCACAGGTAATCTTGTTACTCTGTTTTACTTTCTTCTGTTTTTGACAACTCACTATTATCATGATTCTCTGTTTCATTATCGAATTATTGGTGCTTTATAGCTTGCATAAGCTACATTTTTTTACTTCATGGAGTTCAGTTACCAATACGCCGATAGTCTTATAATTTTACTTTCATTTGTTAATAAATATATTATGTTCATTATACTTTATCGTTTTTACATTTAATCACATCAAATATTTTGTTTATTTCCTCTTGAAATGCTCGTTATTTAAAAATATTCTAATATTCTTCATTTCACTCTTCAGTTTTCATATAAATTACATATACATGTAATTACATTTCATATAAAGTATCCCATAAAGCAACGTACGTCTAAATATTCATGTTTTTATATGTAAAATCGATCGAAACGTTGGTAGAAAAAATAACGCTTAGCAGATTGCAGATATTTTTTATAGAAGATTCGGACTCTACTCCACCATAAGTAGAACGATTCGCACTACACTTGCAAATGAATTTAACGAAATGTTAATCGAAACGCGATAAATATATGCGTACTTCTGCCATAATTCTTTTCTTAAAACGGATACGCCACTTTCTTCCGTTAACATAACGACGAATCCGTTCCGCTCGGCGCGCAAGTGACGAACATACATATTTGTGAACAACGGACATCGCGTGCAACGCCGCGCGTTTGTTCGTCGTAGCGCATGCAATTTGCATTTCCGACTTTCCAATGAGTAGAAAAAGTCGCGAAATGAAAACATAACGCCACGGAAACACATACGTATGTATATTCGAATATTAGGTCGTTCAGAAAGTTTCCGTCATTTTCTAATCTTCTAGAAGAAAGTAGGGTAAAAATAGAATCTCTGTTATTCATAGTCTATATAATAGTTCCACATAAGACCAGTGAAAAGTTTTCGATTATAAACTAGAACTGGGATAACTATCCAGATATCCGAAAATAATCCGGCTAGAAATCCTATCCGAATAATCCGGATTATCCATAGCCATATCAACTCATTAGTGGAGATGCACCTTTGTTTCTGAATGTAATAAAAAGTCTCTTCGAATTTCCGGATTTTATCTAGATACCCATTTATCCCGACCACAGATATATGTATACATATTCTGATAATCCCAGCTCTAATATAAATGTAATCATAGAATGTGGAAAAATATTTTTGAAAATATTAGACAGATGAAAAATCATTTGGAAGATCGTGAAGTAAATTAATAATGAAGTTAAATCATGAAATTCAATTTGTAAATGAATTGTGTTCGTTCATTTTTTTAAAACTCGAGAGACAATTGCATTATTCACTGAATAACCCAAAGCAATCAATAGCTAATTATAATTGGCTAAGGACTATCTTAAACAATACAGTATAGAATTCTAGAGTTCGTGTTATATTGTAAGAAAGTCTCACGAGGTTTTCACTTTCCTCGCTTACTTACAGACTTTGCTTTGAATATTGCAAATAGTAATCAAGTTGTACTTAATGTTGAAAACTTCTAGACAGACCTGATGCGTCGGTTATTATCTGCGTGATTATACCGATTACTACCGAGCAAAGAGATTTATACCGATTACTACCGAGCATGACACTATCATTACTTATTCTTACTGACGATTTAATGATATTGTTTCAAGAAAGAACTACAACTGAGGAAGTTCTAGTCACGAATTGAGAAAGCGTCACCGTCGGACAAATTTCGTTTCGAATTCGTCGCGTCGTTTCGAAAGACAATAATCTACTGTTGCATTGTGTAAATCAATCGAAAATCTCGTTGCGTCATAGACACGCAACGATAAAGGGAGAATGTTGCGCGATAATCGTTAACTCTTCGTTCCCCGTGTTCGTTGAAGCGCGAAAAATTCGCATGACATAAAAGATCCTTTACTGTTAACATACAATTAAAACGTTATGACGTATCATAAAAACAATTATTATCAAAGAATAGATAATTTAATTTCAAGTTAATTTAATGAGTTATGTAGAAAATTATAGGCTAGTATTTTCTTTTAATGGCCTATTTTAAGAATTCCTTAGAAATCATGGTTTTTATTGTCTCTGAATTATTACATTTATAATTGTACCTCTCTGTTTATTGCCTTCGATGAATACGAAGAGTTAACGTGTATCCTTGAACAAGCTTTAACAACAAATTCTGTAAAAACGCTACTTTTTTTGTGTGATACGTAACAAGTGCATGGAGTTACAAGATATTATTGTCGGCACCGCGAATAGTCTAAAAAATAAATTATTTCAAAACGCCCCCAATTTTTCTTAATGCCTAAGACGTATGTATATCATACATATATTAAGCTCAAGCAAACTTTTCATCTATCGCGATTAAACTTTATAGCTCACATGTTGCCCTCAATGGTATACACATATACATACATACATATGCGTATATGTAATATTGCAATGTAGTAATGTAGTTCCCTCTGTATATTATGCACATAATATTTATCGAGTAATAAGTCCTTTCGTCTGTATTATATCTGTTAATTTTAATAACTAGTAGTATATTATATTATTTAC